AATTTATAGATGGGTCTCTGCGAGACGAGCGCAGCGAGTTCCGCAGCCATCTACTCACCAATATACTGTTGAACTGTTCAAATAAGACACTCACCTGAAACGTGTACTTTTTAAACTAATGAGAATAACTTACATTTGAGTGAGTTAGGTAAGTATCGTAATTACATAACATATTGATGAATAGATGGCTGCGGAACTCGCTGCGCTCGTCCCGCAGAGGTCCACCCATAAGTTCCACAACAATACACTCGTTTGTACTTGAATAACTTGTCACATTATATTACTAGTTTGGTAAAGTAATATTACTAATTCCTGTTGAAAGGCAAATTGACAAAAAGTGGATAATCTTACAAATTCTGACTTTATAAAATAAGTTATTGTTCAAGTACAAATAAGCGGATTGTTGCGGAATTTATAGATGGGTCTCTGCGAGACGAGCGCAGCGAGTTCCGCAGCCATCTACTCACCAATATACTGTTGAACTGTTCAAATAAGACACTCACCTAAAACGTGTACTTTTTAAACTAATGAGAATAACTTACATTTGAGTGAGTTAGGTAAGTATCGTAATTACATAACATATTGATGAATAGATGGCTGCGGAACTCGCTGCGCTCGTCCCGCAGAGGTCCACCCATAAGTTCCACAACAATACACTCGTTTGTACTTGAATAACTTGTCACATTATATTACTAGTTTGGTAAAGTAATATTACTAATTCCTGTTGAAAGGCAAATTGACAAAAAGTAGATAATCTTACAAATTCTGACTTTATAAAATAAGTTATTGTTCAAGTACAAATAAGCGGATTGTTGCGGAATTTATAGATGGGTCTCTGCGAGACGAGCGCAGCGAGTTCCGCAGCCATCTACTCACCAATATACTGTTGAACTGTTCAAATAAGACACTCACCTGAAACGTGTACTTTTTAAACTAATGAGAATAACTTACATTTGAGTGAGTTAGGTAAGTATCGTAATTACATAACATATTGATGAATAGATGGCTGCGGAACTCGCTGCGCTCGTCCCGCAGAGGTCCACCCATAAGTTCCACAACAATACACTCGTTTGTACTTGAATAACTTGTCACATTATATTACTAGTTTGGTAAAGTAATATTACTAATTCCTGTTGAAAGGCAAATTGACAAAAAGTGGATAATCTTACAAATTCTGACTTTATAAAATAAGTTATTGTTCAAGTACAAATAAGCGGATTGTTGCGGAATTTATAGATGGGTCTCTGCGAGACGAGCGCAGCGAGTTCCGCAGCCATCTACTCACCAATATACTGTTGAACTGTTCAAATAAGACACTCACCTAAAACGTGTACTTTTTAAACTAATGAGAATAACTTACATTTGAGTGAGTTAGGTAAGTATCGTAATTACATAACATATTGATGAATAGATGGCTGCGGAACTCGCTGCGCTCGTCCCGCAGAGGTCCACCCATAAGTTCCACAACAATACACTCGTTTGTACTTGAATAACTTGTCACATTATATTACTAGTTTGGTAAAGTAATATTACTAATTCCTGTTGAAAGGCAAATTGACAAAAAGTAGATAATCTTACAAATTCTGACTTTATAAAATAAGTTATTGTTCAAGTACAAATAAGCGGATTGTTGCGGAATTTATAGATGGGTCTCTGCGAGACGAGCGCAGCGAGTTCCGCAGCCATCTACTCACCAATATACTGTTGAACTGTTCAAATAAGACACTCACCTAAAACGTGTACTTTTTAAACTAATGAGAATAACTTACATTTGAGTGAGTTAGGTAAGTATCGTAATTACATAACATATTGATGAATAGATGGCTGCGGAACTCGCTGCGCTCGTCCCGCAGAGGTCCACCCATAAGTTCCACAACAATACACTCGTTTGTACTTGAATAACTTGTCACATTATATTACTAGTTTGGTAAAGTAACATTACTAATACCTGTTGAAAGGCAAATTGACAGAAAGTGGATAATCTTACAAATTTTGACTTTATATAATAAGTTATTGTTCAAGTACAAATAAATGGATTATCGCAGAACTTATGGGTGGACCTCTGCGGCCATCTACTCATCAATATAATAATAATTGTTCAAGTACAGAGTGTTCCTAAATATCATGACTAAAATTTCTGATAAACATAGGTCTATAAACGCTTCGTTGCCGATCTACAGGGTGTTGAAAATTTTAATGCATTCATATTGAAAATTAGCAAAAATATGGAGGCGAGGAGTGTTTTACTTCTAGATTCCTATTGAAAATGAGCAAGAATATGGCTGCGGGACCTCTATTGTAACCACTGGATGTTAGAAAATGTTTTACTTTAGTTTCATCTAGCTAATTATAGAGATTTGTTTTTTAATTTTTTTCTCGATAAGGGTCGGTAATACGAAAAAACTACAAGAGAACAAAAAGTTTCTAAATAAGGTAAAAAAATTATTTTTATTCTTAAAATCGACCAGCGGCGCACCGCGAAAAAGTTCAGGGGCAGAAAAGAGAGAACGACCCCTGAAAAAAACCTCACCCTGTAGATTTTGGCAAACGTTTGACATGTGGCATCATCCAGCTCCTATTGCGTAACCTATATTTTGAATTTGAGCTAAGTCCCTGAAAAATTGCCGGAGCTATAAAGAAGAAACTAAAAAAATATTAAAATTTCAATACCCTGTAGATCGGTAATAAAATAAACCAAAGAATCACCCCCTTTTCGTTTATACATGATATTTCGGAACACCCTGTGTAAGTAAAATCACTGTTCATATGCAGTTAATAGGCTAGAAATGTTTTTAATTAAATTATGCTAATGACGCATCTAGATTAATAGAATTCTGCAATATTTGATTTTGAACTCAGATAATATGTAATTTCATGACGCTAATAGGTTCGAAGCTGTTTTTAAAATGTTTCTCAAGGTTTTCAGATTTAATTATTAAATTCGATTAAATCGCATGCCAAAAGCGACCTCAAGGTTGAGCAATAATAAAGAGATATATTGTTTATAAGCTCACATGTCAATAAAAAATTTAACTAGTTGAGTAGATGATTTTGCATTTATATGATCATTGGGGACCCCCCAATGTCCATACTATACATCTAATTATTTTGAAATTTGGAGCCAGATTCTATGAAAAATGGCACTCAGAAAAATTGAAAAATTGATAAATCACACCAAATTGCTTAACACGATTTTATCTCAGGAACTACAAGTGCAAATGAGCTGAAATTTTCAGGGATTGTAGTCCTTTGAAAAAGATAAAATTCAGTGAACGTTTCAGCTTTCTATCTATAAAAGAAAAAACGTTATGTGTCTTCAAAATTTTCAAAAACACAAATCATATTGCTGGAGATTTTTGATCTTAATTCAGTGCCAAAATCTTCTTCTATTTCCTTTCTCAATTCTCAAAGCCAAAACCTCTTCTGACAATAATATTTCAGCATAATCGCGTACCTCTACCACATCACCACATCTTAAGACCAAATGCTATTGACCTTGACAACGTCCTTGCTATTGAACTCTCACTGGTAATAGATATACTCATTCGAGCAGAAGCTATTATAGATTTAGATATACCCACCCAGTGGTCGCTATAGTAGTCGAACAGAAAAAAAAAATAAGTGGGGGCCTTAGCTACACAACATCGGATCTACAATTAAAATTGCAATCTTGGTACTACACAGGGTACACAATAAAATACTATTACGTAGATGAAAGATTATAATAAACGCTGGCTTTTGATTAGAGGCATATACTAAAGCCGGACGATAAACATTTTAGATATAATGGGGCTTTGCATGGGAACCTGTAGGTTGTTTCGATATTTTATCGGTTTGTTGCACATCTAATTTAACTAACAATTGATAAACTGACTATTAGAGTAAGAATTTTATATACTGGATTGTAGGAAATATTTTAATTATTGAATTAATTTCATTCACGTTTCAATTCCATGGGCCAAAAAAGATGAAAATCCATGAGTCCCTGGCCTTCTGGGTGAACATTGTATTGTGCCAACAATAATTAATAATTTATTTACCCGCATTTATGTTTTGCTTCCTAGTTGTACCAATGTCATTATACAATCCCTATAGTTTCCCAGAAAAACTTGAAAATAAACATATTATTTGTAGTCAAGTACTCAAAAAGAATTCATTTCGTTAAACACAATTAAATTTCTTTTCTCCCATCATCCAACATAAGAAAACGGTAAAACGGTGACTTTGCACGCACCCAGACGAAGGTCATACACTTTTGGAATTTCAATTATTGAGCAACATCATCATCTTAAACTCTCCATCATCAACTGCCTAATTGCTATAAGTATAACATTCGCCGGGTATCATTAGATAACGTAATAATGCAATAAATAACACCTATTTGGTGGCAAATTAAAACGAAGCTTAGTTCAAGTCTAGCCAGAAGGCATATGGATTTCCGCTTGATGTAGAGTGTAGCAAAATTATCTTGATTTTTAACATGGTAGCGTAACAGAGTGATAAATAATGCTTGAATAATATAAAATATATCGCTTGAGCAGACAAGCATGTTAACCGCAATAAAATATTTCTCATTCGGTGACCAAGTTAAATAACTAAACTATAAACTAAACTAGGCATATGAACCATCTTGTATTAGTTTTTTGTGTCTTAGGGCCGGTATTTCAATGTCACATTAAGTCATCCTTAATGCAAGTTTCATCGTAGGTATATCAAAGCTCCCTTAATTCAAGGTGGATTTATTAAGCCACTTGAATGAATTGATTTCAAAATCACCTTAACGTTAAGGTAACATTGAAATACCGGCCCTTATTCTATCTATTGCCTTGTCTTATAATTTCATCATTACTAAAAAACACCTAAGTAGATAATAACCGCTAAAGAATTTAATAAAAAAACTCGATTTGCCTTCTTACGAAACCAGTTAATATGATAATTATACACGTTGCGTTATACATTTTACTAGATCAAGTTCGTTTTATTAAAATTTAATTACTTACAACGATGACGATCTACCCTCTTTGGGCGGTGACAGCCTGGTCTTATGATCATGACTGATCTTAGCCCTCATGCTCTGATTGATTCGCATGTGGCGAGGCTGCAAGGGCGGCGGCGATTCTTTGTAAGGGCTCTCGGCGATCGAGGCCCTTTGGGCTCTGTGAGTTTCCAGTCTGGATCCAGGCGATGCGTGGTTTTTGTGGTGGATGGGCAATGGGTCCGCTATGCCGTTGAGAGCTAGTTTTTGGGTGGATGGATATCTGGAACAAGGAATTGGATACTATTGTAGAAGTTTCCTCTTTGTGGGAAAATGATCACAGTGACTTGAAACTTTCAGGATTTATGAATTGGAGTTTCCTGTTTGTGGAAAAACGTAATTTCCCATATACAGTTTTTAAATAATTGTCATCTGATTATATAATTTTGTATATTTTCGTAGGTCGACTGAGTACACGATACGCCACTGGTGTCACCCTGTTTCTGACAACCCCCTCAACCTTCCCTATTAGTATGAATTTAATCCGATGTACAGTTTTTGAATAATTGTCATCTGATCTCAGACGATACAAACATATTGTTGGAATATCCGTGGCATATTCATTGGGAATATGAAAATATCCCGTGCATGTTCTATTCATGTGACAGGGATATCCCAGGCATATGCCTAAGTCACTATGAAATATATCCCTGCAATATGCCACATATGACAATTGGATATTGGAATATACAGTGTATATGCAATATCCTTAAAGAATATCTGATGAATATATATCCTATGCATATTCAGAGTGAGCAATATTTTATTATTCCCGGCTCTTGTAAGAAATTTTTCACGAACATCGGTAGTCGAAAACAATTCCACCACTGTGTAAAGATATAGGGTGGTCAATATTTTATTATCCTTGGTTCTAAATGTAGAAAATCTTTGACGGGAGCCGGTAATGGACAACAATTTCACCTACTGTAATTTGACTTAGCAAAAATAGACCACTGTATGAAAATACAGAGTGATCAATGCTTTCTTATCCCGCTCTTGTAGGAAATCTTTCACGAAAGCCAGTAATTGAAAACAGTTCCACCACTGTGTTGAGATACAGGGTGATCAATATTTTATTATCCCTGGCTTTTAATGTAGAAAATCTTTGACAAGAGCCGGTTATAGAAAACCAATTCAACCCACTGTAATTTGACGCAACAAAAATACGCCACTGTATAAAGATACAGAGTGATCAATACTTTATTATTTCCAGCTCTTTCACGAAACCCGTTAATCGAAAACAATTCCACCACTGTGTAAAGATACAGGGTGATCAATATATTATTATTCCTGGCTCTTATGTAGAAACTCTTTGACAAGAGCCAGTAATAGAAAACAATTCTACCCACTGTAATTTGACAAAAAAAAATTACGCCACTGTATAAAGATACAGAATCAAAGAGTAAACCACCATCCCAGAATTGGAGCATACAATTTCTCAAAGGGGAATTTTTTTAAGGATAATTCCTCATAATTCCTGCAAATTTCTCCAGATACCCCATCACAAATTCCTCCAATTACCCTACCACGAACTTCTCTAAATAACCCACAAATTCCTCTAAATTCCTGCGAATTCCTCCAAACTCCTCTCAAATTTCCCACAAATGTCTCTTACAAATTCCCTGAAAATGAGGAATATTGGAAATCAACCTACAATAACTGAATTAATTGAAAATACAGTATCACATATTTCAAAGTTTTCCTGAAAAACTAGTGAAGGGAAAATTTTGAAACTTTTTGCATGTAAAGAGGAAGCTGAGAAGCTCATTTTCCAAAAATTTCAAGTTTTTCCAGTAGAAAATAACAACATGAGGAATTTTGGAAATTAACCTACAAAAACTGAATTAGTTGAAAATACAATCTCACACATTTAGAAGTTTTCCTGGAAAACTAGTGAAGGGACAAATTTGGAACTTTTTGCATGTAAAGAGAAAGGTTAGAAACTCATTTTCCCAGAATTTTAAATTTTTCCAGTGGAAAATAACAACTTGAAGAATCTTGGATATGAACCTACAGGAACTGAATTAATTGAAAATACAGTCTCACACATTTCAAAATTTTCTTGGGAAATTAATTTTTCTATTGGAAAATAACAACATAAGGAATATTGGAAATTAACCTTCAATAACTGAATTAATTGAAAATATAGTCTCACACTGTCACACATTTCAAAGTTTTCCTAGAAAACTAGTGAAGGGAGAAATTTGAAACTTTTTGCATGTAAAGAGGAAGGTGAGAAGATCATTTTCCCAAAATTTCAAATTTTTCCAGTGAAAAACAGTAACATGAAAAATCTTGGAAATCAACCTAGAAAAACTGAATTAGTTGAAAATACAGTCTCACACATTTCAAAGTTTTCCTGGAAAACCAGTGAAGGGAAAATTTTGAAACTTTTTGCATGTAAAGAGGAAGGTAAGTAGCTCATTTTCCCAAAATTTCAAATTTTTCCAGTACAAGATTACAACATAAGAAATCTTGGAAATCAACCTACAATAACTGAATTAATTGAAAATACAGTATCACATATTTCAAAGTTTTCTTGGAAAACTAGTGATGGGAAAATTTTGAAACTTTTTGCATTTAGAGAGGAAGGTGAAAAGCTCATTTTACCAAAATTTCAAACTTTTTTAGTGGAAAATAACAACATAAAAAATCTTTGAAATCAGCCTACAAAAACTGTATTCATTATTCTTTTGAATTTTTTAAATTTGATAATTTCCTTTAAGTTCCTGATAAATTCCTCACAAATTCTCTCAAATTCCCCATAGATTCCTCCAAATTCCCTATAAATTCCCCAAATTCTCATAAATTCTGATGAGTTTCTTCAAATTCCCCACATTTTTGGCAAAGAATTCCTAGGTGGTTTGCCCCTTGTACAAAGTGATCAATGCTTTATCATTTCCGGCTCTTTCACGAAAGTCGGTAATCGAAAAGAATTCCACCACTGTGTAAAGATACAGGGGTTGATCAACATATCATTATTTCTGGCTCTTAATGTAGAAAATCTTCGACTAGAGCCGGTAATAGAAAACAATTTTACCCACTTTAATTTGATACAACAAAAATACGCCACTGTATAAAGATACAGATACTGTAGTTTGACTCGTGTACCCCATCATCAAAATTGACGCCCTGACCATATTCAAAGATATGCAAAAGCGTGACGACCTGGAAATAACCATATCTTTCCCGACATTTGTATGAAACTCTGTAAAAAAATCTTCCTTTTGCATATTCAAGGAACATGCAAAAATAATATTCTATCAGCACGGCATATCCTATAACTAAATGCCTGGAATATACCAAACTAATACAGAATACTACAAAATATGCTGGGGATATGCAATATGCCTTGGAAAATTGGCAAATTGTAGGCATATACCAAAGTTTGCATATATCAGCAATATTGGGTGCCGTCTGGGATTATAAAATTTTGTTTTATTTTCGTATGAATCTCCATTCTTAGGTCGATTTAGTGTACGCCACTGGTATCACCCTGTTTCTGATCCTTTTCTGTTAGTATGAATCTAATCCCATGTACAGTTTTCGAATAATTGTCATCTGATTATAAAATTTTGTATATTTTCGTATGAATCTTTATTCTTAGGTCGATCCAGTGTACGCCACTAGTATCCCCCTGTTTCTGACAACTTCCTGAATCTTCTTTGTTAGTATGAATTTAATCCTATGTACAGTTTTTGAATAATTGTCATCAGAATATATAATTTTGTATATTTTCAAATAAATCTGCATTTATTGGTCGATTGAGTGTACGTTCACACTAACAGGGAAGCCTAAATGGGGTTGTCAGAAACAGGGCGACACCAGTGACGTACACTCGATCGATCTAAAGTTTGCCTTATGAGTCTAGCACTATGGAAAGAATGCGGATAAAAAAAATTGCAATATTGCCTTTTTGACATCCAATAGAAAATACCTTAATATTTATCTATGTTACACAGTTTCATTTATAAGGAAAAAGAAATATCTGAAAAAACGCTGCGCGCACGCCTATGACAAACCAACAGCATAAAGCTCGAAATGAATGGCGTTATTCCCCCTTGCCCTTCAAACGTCGCAATGCTAGACTCGCAAGGCGAACTATACGAATAAGCGTTTCTAAACTACTACAGAATCTGGAATTCCACATGCTTGTATACTATAATTCTAAGGTGGTTTACCCTATTTACTCTTCAGTTGTCTCTTTAACTATTACTGGACTTCTTGTTGACATAGCGCTTTTTAAAGAATCCATACCTAATCCTTTGAATCGAATTTCCCTCAAATCAACGCACAAATTGTCCTTACCGTGTACTAGATCTCTCCGCATAACCTCTCTGATTCGGAAAACCCAATTGCGTCTCGGGTTTGTTCTTGTCGGGCAAAGACTGATAAGGTTTACTGCTAACCTGCTGAATGATATGATCGCCCGGCCTGGTTTTGATCAGCGAATATCGCATCGAACGTTCAGGAATGCCGATCACGTTCTGATGCGGAGAATTTTTCTTATTGTTATCGACTTGCGGCTGAGGCACTTGATGACCAGATTTTAATCTGTAAAACAATCAATTTATTATAATATTGTGAATATAAGTTTATTACTGACCTATCATTGAACTGTTCTCGCCAGCTAATGGTGCTACACTCTGGAGGCGGAGGCGGAAGAGGATCGTCATTGTCAAAAACTTCGTGCTCTAAAACTGTAGGAGGCGATGGGGGAGGCAAATCAGGACTAGGAACTCTTTGCTCTTGTTGAAACAAATCAGGAAACGCCGAGCGTAAATTGGGATTTTTCGGTGGTCTTTCGGGTGGTTTTTCCAGCACGTAATCGTCCAAAGATATCGAAGGGCCTATGATCATAGGCCCCATAGTTGAAAGGCTCCCGCACGAGTTACTGTGCTGATGCCTTGGAGTGATTTTACCCCCAATTATGTTATCGGTTGTTTTGGATTCAAGTGTTGAAGCCAAACTGCTTCTTTTGGAATTATAATCGCTAGCAGAGGAAGCTCGGCGCGATGGCAAGGAAACTTTGACTTTCGGCTGAGCTGGTTTGCTCAGACTGAGCGGCTGCTGAGCCAACTGTGGCTCAGAGCGCCACGGGTTTTTGCTGGCACTTTGGTGCCGTTCGTAGAACGACAGCAGGGCCTTTTTTTGGATGGCCTTCAGGGTAGGATCAGGAACTTTGTGTTTCTTATTTGGGTCTAGGTATGAGTATTTTTGTTGTTTTTCCAGTTCGCTTATGCGATCTGCTACGGACAGAGCTGACTGCAACGACAAGGATAATCTGGAAAAGAATTTTTGTGTTCAAAACAAATAGTGAGACAAAATGTTATATCAATATAAGTCAGATATTTCTAGAACTACTCTAAATGAGCTGAAATTTTCAGGGATTGTAGTCCTCTAGTGGAATAAGAGTCGCAGAAAATTTCAGTTTTTATCTTTAATAGAAAAAAAGTTTGTCAAAATCATAAGGTATCTTATAGTCTGGGAGACGACCGCATTTTTCCTACCCCGATCGAGTTATGTGTCGACACTATTATCAATATATAGTATTATGTGCATCTATTAACCTGTATTCCTGCCTGAGAGCAAATGCTGCCGGAAATATATTTTAACAAATTATTAACAAATTGAAAAAAACGTAACACTACCCCCATGCCCCAAGTAGGGTATCAGATTGAAGGTCTCGATGTCCCCTATCTAAAAAGTCGATCCTGCCTCGTGAGAACTTGCCGGAAAAGGGTGGCAGGACAACTTATTGGGGCAAGGGCCCGCAGTCTCTGCTTTGACACCTATCAAGCTTTGTACTAAATGATGTGTCAAATTAAAGGTGTCAATAAGTTGATTTAAGGTCTGTTCGCACAGAAATCACAAACCAGTCAGAGCGAATTTCATTGGTTGGAAACAGTCAGGAAACTAGTTTCAAACAATGAAATTCACTCCTTCTGGTTTGGGATTTCTGTGCGAAGAGACCTTAAATCAACTTATTGACACCTTTAATTTGACCCATCATTCAGCGCAAAACTTGATAGGTGTCAAAGCAGAGACCGCGGGCCCTTGCCCCAATAAGCTGTCCTGCCACCCTTTTCCGGCAAGTTCTCACGAGGCAGGATCGACTTTTTAGATAGGGGACATCGAGACCTTCAATCTGATACCCTACTTGGGGCATAACTCGATGGGGGTAGTGTTACGTTTTTTTCAATTTGTTAAAAGATATTTCCGGCAGCATTTGCTCTCAGGCAGGAATACAGGTTAATAGATGCACATAATACTATATATTGATAATAGTGTCGACACATAACTCGATCGGGGTAGGAAAAATGCGGCCGTCTCCCTAACTAGTAGTACTAAAATGACAACATTTCAATTTTTTTTATGTTGAGATGTTGTGTCTAAAAGCTCTTTCTTACTAAAATGATGAAATGAAAAATCACTAGAAAAACACTACACGTTAGTCCAAATCAAAACCTCATACGAACTGTTGTAGTGTTTTCCGTATTTGTAGCGACATCATATGACTTTGAACTGAATAAAAAACCTCTCGTTTAATGCGTAACATCTAAATTAGATTAAGCTGTAATCAGAGAATCCTTACAAAGAATTGCTTGATGCTCAATAATACACCCAAAATCTTTAAAATTCAAATATTGATACTTTGTAATTTATTAAGTCTGTTCTAACACGTCAAAAAACTGTCCCAAAACGACTCAGTAACCGAATTTTGGATTCTACCAATGACTGTTTTAATTTTAGGTTTTGCACAGAATTGTGATGGTACATCTGCTATATTGTAACAAACCTATTATAGATTCAATTCGTACCTGTTTTTAGAACTATTATTAATCCCTGTTTCACTAGCAGCTTCTTGCACCGTATAGGTATTTACAGGAAACAGCTTCAACTTATTATTTACACTACTGGTTTTAGACTCTTTTTCGGACTGGCTCATGTACAAAACACTTTCGGAATGGTGTTTCTGCGGCGTTTTCACTCGGGCACTGTGAGCTATAAGCTGCCGCGAGTTGGCAAGATGAGTACAGGAACTGCTAGCAACTGATACATCACTCATGGAACCTAAAAATTGTATTATGATTAACTATAAACTACAAGTGCTGATTATTATTACCGTGCCATTTGAGTGTTTCACTAGAAGAAGCACTGCCAGAACTTGTAGTGACAACACTGTCGCGGCCTTCTCCTCTGCTACAACTGGATTCTTCCTCCCATGTAGCTGAAGAGTGAGGACGTGACACTACAGCTTCGCTGTCACGTCTCAGTCTGTCCAAAAACGGGGTGGATGTTGAGTCAGTGCTTGAAACGTAGCTGTGGTATCCTTCGCTTTGCGCATAAGACACTTGCTTTTGATGGTGGATTTGAGTAAGGATACCATCCTCGTAACTTCTGTTGTTGTACTCCATAAATTCTTCCAAACCGCTTTCTGTGAGTCGATGATCTTGGTAGGATTTGGCATACTCTTCCAAGTCTTTTTGGGTTAGTTGAGGCTTGGAGTATTCGCGTTCTGGAGGCGAAGGTACACTATAGTCTATGTCGCCTAGAGGTTTACCGTCGTGGTCGACGTTTGGCAAGTAAAGGCGTTTGGGCGGGTCTTTGTTTCTGGACTCGAAGGTTTCCGGCGGGATTTTTTCGCAACGCTCCATCACAGTTTTTAGCTTCTGGAAAAGAATAAATATGAACAATTAGTTGTAAGTATCTAATGATTGAAGTAGGGTAATATTATACAGGGTGTCTTTATTTTTATTAAATCACCTTTAAAAGCTTTTGAAAATTACTTCAAGTAATCAGAGGGACTTCAAACTTTCAGGATTTATCCAGTAGGTAGAACTAACCGCATCTGGTTATAGAGATATTTGCCCGCAAAATGTGTCACCCTGTATCATGGCTTGTTTCTAGTACACATGACAATTAAAATTGTTGATAAATTGTTTTACTGTTGCGTTATTTCTACAGGAATTTTAACGTTTGAAAATACATCGAATGCCTTTTTGCCTTGTTGCAATTTTCAAAGTACCTACCTTCTTTATAAAATAGTCGCGGTACAACAGATTGACTTAAAAAAACCAATTTGTGTTACAAATAGTCCTAATCTTAAAAGACAGTGACGACGCAGTGGCGGATCCAGGGGTGGGGGGGGGGGCACTGGGGGGATTTATTGAAATTTTGTTTATTGAAATTTTCAATCATGGATTAACTTCAAAGTTAATGTCAAATGATAGTTTATGAAAATCTAATAAATGTAAAATCGGTTTTGCTGTAAAATAAACCGTTTAGGTTTTACAGCCTGTCAAAGTTGCAAAAAAGTCAAATTTCAACTCAACTGTCAATATTTCCAAAACAGTTGAACTTAGGTATAGTGTATATCACAATAAAATCCGCTCAGAATTTTACGTAGAATCCGAATATTCAATAATATGCAGGGTGCCCCATAATTTTTTTTTGTTTTCTGTTTTTACGGTTTTGGAACCTCTAGTTTTGATATTCCTAGAATCGGCAGAACTAGTTCAGATTTGATCCTGAACCGATTCTAGTTGAACCTAGAGCAAAGATTGCAAAGAATTGTGTATGGAACTAATTCAAAACGGTTCAAAAAGTGATGGTTTTGTTATTATATTCCTAGAATCAGTAGAACTAGGTCAGATTCAATCTGGAACCAATTCTAGTTGATCTAGAAGAAAAAGCTGTAACAAAAAATTTGGAATTTATTAATTTCTAAACGATATAATTTGAAATGTTCCAAATCCAAATCATTTTTGAATCCAATTGCGAACGCAACTTAACGGATTAGATTCTGAACCAGTTTGGAACTGATTTAGAACGACTTTTAAATCAGTTTTGAAGTGATTCAGAACGGTTTTGGAACCCCTAGTTTTGAAATTGCTTGAATTGGTAGGACTATTTAGTTCAGATTCAATCCGAAACCAATTCTAGTTGAACCTAGAGCAAAAATTGCAAAGAACGGTGTATGGAACTAATTCAGAACTGTTTCGAAAATTGTGATTTTGTTATTATATTCTGTAAAACTATAATTTGAATAATTGTCAATGTGGCTCTGAATCCAATTGCAAACACAACTTTATTACCGGATCACATTCCGAACCAGTTTAGAACATTTTTGAATCAGTTTTGAACTGATTCAGGATTCAGAACTTAGAGCAAAGATTGCAAAGAACTGTGTATGAAATTATTTCAGAACGGTTTCGAAAGTTGTGATTTTGTAATTATATTCCTAGAACCGACAGAACTAAGTCAGATTGGATTCGGAACCGATTCTAGTTGACCTAGAACTTTTGTTCTAGGTCAACTAGAATCTGTAACAGAAAATTTGGAATGTATTGATTTCTGAACAATATAATTTGAATTGTACTCTCACTCTGGAGTAGCTTACTCCAGAGAGCCTTACATAAGAGTAGCTTAATCCACAGAACTCAAGAGTACCTCATTCCAGAGTACTCTAGAGTAGAGCAGCTTATTATTGAGAACAGCCTACTCTAGAATTGACCGCTACAGGTTGATAATTTTTGAGCAAATTGTGTTTGAAGTTTTGGGCAAAATCTGGACTAAAAATCATCTTTGAGGCTCAATTACTCAAAAACTATTCGAGCCATTGAACTCAATTTTGCACGGATTTATAGAGAATTTATTGCTCTTTTCAGTGATATATAATTTATTTCAATTTGCTCAAAATTTAACAAAGATATCGGCAATTGCTCATGATCATGTCAAGATTTTGAAAATTTCCCAGACCCAAAAATAGGATTTCCCTTTTAATTTCTCTTTCAGCTCAAAATAGCCATTTGAAAATTATGTCAAGATCACTAATTTTGATTCACTCTATCGATTGGTAAAGCCAAAATTGAGCAAAACTGAAAAATAAAAAATTGAGTGTACTTTTTCTGAATTGTAAAAGCTAACTTTGAGTCTCAATTGCTCAAAAACCATTTGAGTTATCAAGCTCAATTTTGCACGGATTTATATAGATAGAACTTATTTCAATTTGCTCAAATATCCAACGAAGATCTGGGCAATTATTTCTAACCGCACTTTAAATAGTAAAGGCTGCAGGTATGGGATAATCAAATACTTACTCTGAATATTGGAATCATGTCCCACTTGACTTTTAGAACTGAGACTGAGATTTTTTTTTATCTGACAAAATAGGCACAAAGTTTTTGCTTATTTCAAGTTCTTGATTTTTTTCTTAGACATTAGAAGAAAATACAAATTCAAGAGCCGGGAATAGACAAAAATTGAGACGGAAAAATTGTGAATTAACTGAAAAAGAAATGTAGAGAAATTGAGAAAAAATCTGTCTGTCTATTTCAGGGCTCTTGAATTTTCTATTTTCTCAACCTATTTGGACATTCAAGAGATGGGAAATGGACAAAAACTGAACTGAAACAATTAGGAAATAGAAAGAAAAAATTTAAGAGAAATTGAGACAAAATTGGTGAGCAAATAAATAAATTATTTCAAGCTCTTGAATTTTCTGTATCTAGGATCTAATCGAAAAAATAAAATTATACAGGGTGTTTCATTTGAAATTTAAAAAACCTGATACAAGCATACAGAAATTGGATCACCCTGTAAAAATTGAACGACTATTAGATAAATATAGCAAAAGCTCTAAGCCTTAAAAGTGTCAAACCGATAATAAAATCTATCATTGTAACTCACACTCTGCATTTGGGTCAAACAAAAAATCTACGTCTCGTAACTGGATTTTCAAGCTTTTATGTATCTGTGAACGGGCCATTATGCAAGGCTATAAGGATGATGGGATCGGCTCGGAACCATCAGCAGTAAAGATCTATCTCGCGCTAACAATAGATCAGATAATAATTTAATGAGAGCAGAAAAATTGCTTTTTTACGATGACCACATTATCATATAAGGTACAACCTCATTGAATCCTAAAATATATTATTAGTGTCACGACTTGTATAGTTTAATCATAGGTGTTTCCGACAATTGCGTGCGCAAAACGGGTACTACCCAAAGTCGAGCGGCCATTAATGTCAGCGCTTGAACCTGATTTTAATAATTGATTCCATTTACCTGTTGAGCGTACTGGGAATTTTGCCGCTTCATGTAGGGTCTGGTGTAGGCGATCACTTTTTCCTTGGGATAATTCGTGTGATCGGTCCACGACTTGGATCGGGTGGAACCGCAATTGGAGGTGGAGCGCGCGGCGGCCTCGGGTACCGGCCAAGAAGGGAATTTTTCGTGTCCGGGTCCGTATTTGATGCTCTAAATCGGTCAAAGTTTGTTTGTATAAAACACTGGAAATTGAATAGTTACCTTAAGGCTGGACGAATCACGTACGGGTGGTGCTGGCGGCGGTGAGTCGTCATTCCTACCCCCGCCAGTACTCGGTACCACCTTCTGAGTCAGTCGATGGTAGGCCGTTGAAGTGAAGCCTTTGGTCTGGTGTAGATTGGGCGTGGATCTTGATGGCATCATTGTAAAGCCGTCAACGGTATTGGGACTTTAGATTTGCCAGCCCCAATGTTGATGCTAAGCTTTCTTGTCATTTTTAGGATCTGCAATAAATAAGAGAAATATTTCAAATCGTGTCACTGATAGTCGTAAACCACACGGAAGATAAAGCAGGACCCCTGAAATAGCTTGTAGATTAGACAATTTTGAGTTATGTTTTTTCACTTACAAGAGGATCGCATTCCTTCAATCCTTCAATTTTCATGTGGCGGACTTTAAGTCCCTCTTTCTATTTCGACTTCTGAGTTCGGCTTTCAAGCTTGTGTAGTGCAACATTTGAGAGAAGAGAAATACAGATGAATTTTAAGGAAATTTGATCATTTTTCTTTTCTATTCCAGGCTTTTGACTGTTCTTTGATTCTTTTATGGAAAGAAATTTATTTCCAGACCATTTAGATCCATAAATAATACATTCCAAGTTCAAATCCTTTTTCAAAGTTAGCTAGTTAACACTTGAATCTTTTCATTTAAAATACATTGTGGTCAGAATTTCAATTGACCGGCAAAAATGCATTGTGAATGAAAAGGTTCTAGTGTGAACTAAGTACAACTGAACCAGCATTTTTGCTTGGGAATGTACATGTGCCCCTAAAACAACTCTTTTCGTTTTTCCAGAACGTTCGAGACAGGTTTTTTATTGACTTGAGGACGTGTACGGTCAGGGAACATTCCAATACTGTCTAAAAATGATCTTGGAACATTCCTAGGAAACGTTCAGAAAACGTTACATTTGTACACAACAGGGAACGTTTTGGAACCTCACAGGATGTTGAAGGAATGTCTGGTAAGTCGTAGAGGAACGTTTCAAGTATGTATTTGTTGGGTAATAGGTCACCGCTTAAAAATATTTACTTCTTACATAACGCCAACCAAAAATCGTGTTTCTTCTCAATCCGTAACTCCCTGCCATATGGTGTACCTACAGTTCACTACATTTATCACACAACTCGAGAAAAAAACAACCATACAAAACGACAGGCCATTGTTTGTTGGTATTTTAAAACTTAGCGAAAGTGGGTACCCAACATAATATTGTGACGAGGGCAAACGAGTGACACTTTTGCTCGCAAAATCGTGGTTCCAAAAAATGCGCGGGTGGCATTTCGATGGTTATTGTATTATGGCCCTATATGGACGGGTGGAGCAGCCACAATTTAATAAGTTGTGAAACCTATATTCGTGCCATGTGAACATAAATCAACCCTATGTACAACCAAATCAGAGTCGAATATTATTAATATAAATTAAACAAATTCCAAAAGCTGTTGTATAATAAATAAGTATTTGAAAAAAAAAGCCCTCATAAATTCCAAACTAAAGATTTATTAATGCATAAATAAAGAAAACGTTTTTTGAAGCAGAGGAGAAGAAGAAGCAGAAGAAGAAGAAGAGGTGCTTGAACCTAACTGAATTTATATAAATTAAATGTGAGTTGTAGACCCACGCGCTTGCTGGAGAAGAGCGGACCAATAAAATTTGCATAAAACACATGAAAAAAGCAAAAATACATCATAAAAATGTCATAACATTTGAATAAAAGGTTAGATTATGTAAAGAGAATTGTCCACAATCCATATTTCCAACTATAACAGAACAATGTTCCAATCCAAAGGTGCCTGAGTCATTCTTCATCTCAGCGATTTTTCACTGGTTAGTCATTTTCATGTAATTAAATCCCAACCATTTCGGACGTGACTGTTTACAAATTTTTCGTTCAGCCTATAATGACGTAATGGTCGTATAATCTTAATAGTTTTATTTTAGATTTTATTAATGGGGCGAGAAAAATGTCAGATCTGTTGGGTTCAGATAGTAGAGTATATGGGTAGAGGAGTCCAAAAAGCCTGGGACACAAATTTTTTTTGGCCCTATAGCGGGGCGTTGATGACGTAATCAATATGGTCCCCAATTTTTCTGTGACATGATCTATTTTGATAATGAATTCGTTGATGCTACGACCGACCTAATGGTGGTTCCATTTATATATATAGGACCTATTTTTGTTATGCCAGAAGCATTCAAAAGAGTGTTCGATTATCCTGAAGCATAAAGGTTATTCAACCATAGCAAAGAATCTTGCATTTTTTACTGAACATGGTCAGCTTCCAAGTGGTATAAGAAATTTGGACCAGTTGAACAAAGGGCATGGTCTTTTACAATCATACTAGTAACCCATGCAACAAAATATCACAAATCTTGCAAGAACAAATATGACAGTCAAAAGGTAAAAAGACTATCCTACCTTCACTCTTAGGAAAGTCTTAAATCCTGGGTTTAACTCTGATGTCCTGGAGAGATTGCATATTGAATATATACAAGGAATAGAGCATACGCTGCATTTTATGCACAAAATGAACCTGGTTTTAGAAATATAAACTGTAATGCGTCATTGCTTTCACTTATAAATGGAGAAGCAATGGTACAGGATAAATGATGGATATCATAATAATGGTTACAGCAAAATTAAATGGAACTCAAGCTCCCGTGATTACATGTGATCAACCAGTATATGCTATTGGAAAGCAGAGGTCCACCCATAAGTTTCACAACAATCCACTTATTTGTACTTGAACAATAACTTATTATATAAAGTCAGAATTTATAAGATTATTTATTTTTTGTCAATTTGCCTTTTAACAGGAATTAGTAATGTTACTTTACCAAACTATTAATATATTGCGATAAGTTATTCCAGTACAAGCGAGTGGATTGTTGCGTTGCGGAACTTATGGGTGGACATCTGCGGGACGAGCGCAGCGAGTTCCGCAACCATCTATTTATCAATATGTTGTTTAATTGCGATACTAAACTGATTCATTCAAATGAGCATTATTCTCATTAGTTTAAAAATTACACATTTCATGTGGATGTCTTAGTTGAACAGTTCAATAGTATATTGGTGATTAGATGGTTGCGGAACTCGCTGCGCTCGTCCCGCAGAGTTCCACCCATAAGTTCCGCAACAATCCATTTATTTGTACTTGAACAATAACTTATTATATGAAGTCAGAATTTGTAAGATTTTCCACTTTTTGTTAATTTGCCTTTTAACAGGAATTAGTAATGTTTCTTTACCAAACTAGTAATATATTGTGACAAGTTTGTTCAAATACAAACGAGTGGATTGTTGCGGAACTTATGGGTGGATCCAGCCATCTATTCACCAATATGTTGTTCAAGTACGATACTAATCTGACTCATTCAAATGTGAGTTATTCTCATTAGTTAAAAAATTACACATTTCAGGTGAATGTCTTACTTGAACAGTTGAATAGTATATTGATAATCAGATGGCTGTACCGTTTTGGCTGAATTTTTAGAAACCATGGTCAGAAATAAAATTTAATTGTCAGAAATGTGAAATTTTGCATGCTTCCAGCTTTTATCAAATGGGATGCCCTATATTGGGTTCTATATTCTTGAAGAGCACAATGCCTCGATTCCAAAAATATATAACTTGTCTATATTTGATTGAACAGTCTCTCATATAATCAGCTCCAAAAATTGTAGAAATACTATATATAGAAATAGAAATACTACTACTGATTTTGTGAACCATTCTACCTGTACAGCTTAAAGCTATAGGTAAAATTTGCGGTAGGTACTTGGTTTAAAAACTACACGTTTCAAGTGAGTGTCTTATTTGAACAGTTTAACAATATATTGATAAGTAGATGGCTGCTGATCCACTTATTTGTACTTGAACAATAACTTATTATATAAAGTCTGAATTTGTAAGATTATCCACTTTTTGTCAATTTGCCTTTTAACAGCAATTGCCAATTAGTGATGATGTTACTTTACCAAACTAGTAATATAATGTGATAAGTTATTCAAGTACAAAACGAGTGGATTGTAGCGGAATTTATAAGTGGACGCAGCCATCTATTCATCAATATGTTGTTTAATTACGATACTAACCTGACTTACTCAAATGTGAGTTATTCCCATTAATTTAAAAACTACACGTTTCAGGTGAGTGTCTTATTTAAACAGTTCAACAGTATATTGGTGAATAGATGGCTGCGGAACTCGCTGCGCTCGTCCCGCAGAGGTCCACCCATAAGTTCCGCAACAATCCACTTATTTGTACTTGTGTTACTTTACCAAACTAGTAATATATTGTGACAAGTGATTCAAATACAAACGAGTGGATTGTTGTGGAACTTATGGGTGGACCCAGGCATCTATTTACCAATATGTTGTTCAAGTAGAATACTAACCTGATTCACTCATCTGTGAATTTTTCTCATTAGTGCAAACACTAGACGTTTCAGGTGAGTGTGTTATTTGAACAGTTCAACAATATATTGCTGAATAGATGGCTGCGGAACTCGTTGCGCTCGTCCCGCAGAGGTCCACCCATAAGTTCCGCAATAATCCACTTATTTGTACATGGTGTTTTTTTATATATTAACACCCCTCTTGACTCGTCTACCCATGTACTATCTAAACCCAAAGAGGCGCATCGGTTGCCAGATCTGAAATATTCTGGTATAATTTTTAGCTACCTCACCCCACTACATCAATAATACAAATCCTTATTAATTTCCTATTCTGGTTTTACATTTAAATTACTATTCAACTGGTGTACGGTTATAGAAAGAGTCTCGCCATCTGACTCATCCGGTCTCTATTAATTATAAACTTGAGGATTCGCCATTATTTAAGTGGTTCGTTTCGGGATTTTAGACCACACACACAGAGAATTTTTTTGTTGTTAGGCTCTTAGACAAAGTCAACTTATCTACGATAACCGGAACGATAATAAACCAGCCGATTCCAGTTACGTTTTACATACTTTAAGCCGGTAATATTAATCGTACCACTCTCCGGTGCATCTGCCGTATCAAACTGCCTTTTCGCTATAAACTCCCGCATTCCTTATTGCGAAAGATTAACTTTTACAGTTAACCGCAGTACGAACATTAGCAGCAAAAGTTAAAAATACTTTTGTAATCCGCTTTGTTCGAGGGATGTATACCTGACCGGTGGGTGTGCAATCTCGGATTTATTTTCTTGAAAAGGTATTTCCGGCTTGCAT